CTGGTGAGCATATCTACCTAAACATACACGTATATACCTGTACATACATGCTTATATACATATATATATATATACACATCTATACTGGTGAGCATATCTACCTAAACATACACGTATATACCTGTACATACATGCTTATACATATATATATATATATATATATATATATACACATATACATATATACACATCTATACTGGTAAGCATAACATATCTACCTAAACATAATGCTATCATCTCTACCTGTCTGTCTGTTTATATAGGAACCTCCCTATCTCATGCTGAAGGCGGGGCCGGATGCTAAGCACCTGACCGGTAACGACAGGTTTGAGGGATACTGCGTAGACCTGCTGGAGAAGGTCGCCGAGCGCGTCGGCTTCAACTACAGCATCCACGTTGTCGGGGACGGCAAGTACGGAGCGCCGAATGCAGAGGGCGCCTGGAACGGCATGATCCGCGAACTCATGGACCAGGTAAGGGTGGGGGAGGGGTGGGGTAGATGGGAGAGGGGTAGGAGAGAGGGCGAGGGGAGGAGGGGGAGGGGTGGGGTAGAGGGGAGAGAGGTAGGAGAGGCGGGGGAAGGCGGGCGGTGGGTAGAGGGATGTTGCTGCTGATGGTGATGATGATTAAAATAGGGATGATGATGATGATGATGATGACGACGAAGATGATGATGATGATGATGATGGTGATGATGATGTTGTTGATGTTATAGAAGGCGGACCTGGCCGTGGCGCCGCTGACGATAACATACATCAGAGAGGAGGTGATCGACTTCACGAAGCCTTACATGAATCTCGGCATCAGCATCCTCTTCAAGAAACCCGAGAAGAAGGATCCGGAGCTGTTCAGCTTCCTTCAGCCTCTCTCGCTCGACGTGTGGATGTATATGATACTCGCTTACCTGGGCGTCTCCTTCATCCTGTTCGTGCTAGCCAGGTACGCTGTCACACCTGTCATGTGAGTTGTCACACCTGTCAGGTACGCTGTCATACCTGTAAGGTGAGTTATCTGTAAGCTGCAAGTTGAGCTGTTTTGGTCTTGGTCCACTACCTACTATATTGGTGGCATGGGTGTGTGATAATTTGACGGTATTTGTTATATATACATATGTACATATCGATATATACATGTATATAAATATATATAATATATATATATTTATATATATCGCTTGATGAAGAGAGATAATTCTCGAAAGATAATTCTTGCTGATTGAAACTGAACATCTTATAATTATTATATTTTCCACATTTATATATATATATATATATATATATATATATGTATATGTGTGTGTATATATATATATACG